GACTTAGCCCTTCTGCTTCGCCGTCTCAAAGTTTCTCTTCCAAGTGGGTGGCCGTCCAGATGGAGGGAAGTAAAAGCAGCTTCCTTGCCCGCCTTTCATGAGCTGCTCGAAAAAGCAGCCCCTCGCCTCGGAGGAGTGTGTGTGTCTCGCGGGCAGTTAGATAAGTTTGGGCCTTGGGACGGATGTTTTTCATTTTTATCTCGCCCGTGCCCGAATCCCCAAGCCGAGGCTGCCTCGAAATGGTGGTGTCCAAAGGGTCGGAGCAGCCGGGCAGCACGATGGGCCTACCCTCGGGAGCAGCCGAATGGCCACAGCTCAGTCTGGGCTAGAGCAAGCTGCCCTTGAGGTTCAGCCTCGGTCTTGCCCGCCCGCCCGCCTGGCACGTGAGGCCCTTGTTCCCCCCCCCCCCCGCCAGCTCCACAGTCTCGCTTCCGCCTTGCCACCCCTCTCTCACATCCACACCCTCGTCCTCTTTCTTATATTATATTTCTCAAATATTTTATGCGCGTGTCCGCAAAGCAAGGGAGGGGAAAAAAAGCGAACCTCTGGGCGCCTCCCCTTTAAGGCTCGGGGCGGCTGCACCGATCGGCTTCATGAATGGAGGCACGTGACCCAAACATCACGTGACGCGTCCGTGAGCGGCGGCGGCGGCGGCGGCGGACCCCGGACTCTCGGTCCCTCTCTGCGTGGCGGCCTCCCCCTCCCCGCCCCGGCCCCCTCCGGCGGCACCGAGCGGAGGGTGAGCGATTGCGCGAGCGGGGCCTGGGACTTGGTTCCCCTTTTAGAGGGGAGGAAGGAGCAAAGGTAGCGCTCCCCCACACCCAGGAAGGAAGAAAGAAAGAAGGAAGGAGGAGGAGGAGGAGGAGGAATTAATAATGGAGCAGGGGGGTTGATGTATGCGCGTGGGGGTGCTCATGGGGGGGCTTTGTCTCCCCTTTCCAGGCTTTTCTGGGCATGCTGCGTTCCGCGGAGTTAACTGTCCCCCCCACCCGTGTTTATTTTTGAAAAGGCGACTGTTGCACTGTACGTGGGGACTTGGGCTGGCAGGAGCGCCGTCGCCCGTCTCCCCCGTTTCCTCCCAAGAATGTTCTGGCGGGCTCGGAGGGGTGGCGGAGCGCCCGGTGGGGCTCGGTGAACGGACTTCCTTATGCCCCCAGCCCGCCTTGGTTTCTTCTCCTCTTTTCGTTGACTTCATTTTCCGTTGTTGACAGGTGGGTGGCTGGGTGGGTGATCCCTTTTTCTCTTTCGAGTGGATATGCGGTGTGAGCGGGCAACGTCCTTCCTCACAGCTGTCACAGGTAGGAGAGAAGTGCCATCGCTGCCCCAAGCTCCGTTTTTCCTGAATCCTCATTGTTGAGTTCCAGTCTTCTCCCCACTGCTTCTGTGCTTTCTCAAGACGGGAGCATGAAAAAGTAGTTTGACCCTTCCCCACTTATTCTTTGGTTTCCTAGGGCAACTTCACCACCAGGAAGTGGGGGTGGGAGAAAAATCCGCTTCTTGCACATTTGTGTTGGGTGTGTATGTGTCTAGGGATGTGCAGCCATGTCTGCAAATGTTAAAGGGCTTGTTGTGCTGACTCATCAGGTGTCTGGGTAGGAAGGAGAGAGCCAGTGTGCATGCGGGGTGGGGCTCAGGAGGGGGAATGTATAAAGCCGGCAGTATGGAGGGTGATTTTCAGATCACCCCATTCCATTCCCTGGCACAGTCCTCTGTGTGCAGAGCCCAGACACTGCTGACTCATCAACATGAGGTCACCACTAGGTATATGCTGCACAAAGAGAGGTGGGGGCTGGTGGGACCTGGCAAGGGGGCTGGCTGGGAGAGACAAGGTGACCTGCTGACTCATCTTTTTAAAGGATGATAAGGCAGGGACAGTGCCAGTGCAGGAGACAGTTGGGGAGGAGATTCACCTGGGATCCATGTTCTTAAAATTACTTGTCTGTATTTAAGAGGTTGTGACAGTTGCCATTCTCTGAACATATGTCATATTGTCCACATGTAGTGTGTGGACTGAAGTGTGTGTGTGTGTGTGAGAGAGAGAGAGAGAGAGAGAAGGGGGGAGGGGGTGTTTAGTAGAACTTTTGTGAATCTGTTTCTAAACTTGTGTGCCTCTTCTTTATTTTTGCTCTGGCTATTTATATGTTACTTCTGTTCAAGGTACCTGTAGATTTCAATTCTTCTATTTTGGCTAGCTTTCTAATCATAAGAAAGGTTCTGAGAGCAGTGACTTTTATGTAAATTGTGTCTTCTGTCATTGTCTGTGCGGTCTGTGTCAGAGGAGCACAGCATTCTCAAGGGCTCTGTGAAGGAGGCTGGCATGCTGTCACACTGGACTGGGAAGGGCATAGAGATGCAGATCTGTTTTGTGAGCCTGATCAGCTCTGCTGATTTGTACAGTGGAGCACGTATGCGCAACAAGTGCATGCTGTCCTCCGCTGAGTCCCTGGTGGGAAGTCCCTCCAGCAAGTGAGCTGAAGCGTGCCGTTATCTGCAGCCACACCACAGTTCTGGAGGGCAGCCTGTCCTTTGCCAGTTTGATAGTGACTTAGCTTTTGGGGATGAGCGTTTTAATCAGTATGTCTTAGATGTTAAAATTGTGATTGGATAGAGATGCTGCCCGGGCAAAAGCTAGCTCCCTCAGTGTATTTTACTTCTGACAGATACGTACAAATTCTTTTTCTTGTACTTCTGAAATCGTAAGGTGGGAAGGACACAAAAATGTATCTAGTAAAACTCCCTTCTCTATAAAGGCATAAACCTAGGGCTCCTAACTGAGTGTAGTATATCAAGGGTATTTGTTTTCTTTCTAGAAAAAGAAATGTTTTTTATATTGCAAACTTATCAGATTCAAAATGAATTGAGCCAAGACAATTACAGGGCATATACTGAGGACACAGAGCTGCAGGAGCGTTGTTGAAAAACCAAAACAACCTTCCTATAGCTCTGTGTCCTCAGATACATGGCATATGGACCAGCACTGTACCACTCATATTGGTGGAGGAACTATAGCTCTTTCTGTCTTCAGATATAATTGTGACAAGGTGGCAGGTAATCTGCAACTGTCTAGCATCCCATTTTAGTGTCCTGTGACACTGCAGTTTGGACAAATTATTTTCCACTGGGATATTTAAGTAATTGCAATAAATTATGATGTTTGTGGCAAATGGGAAGTGAAACAAACACATTTAACTAGAAATGTGGGGAGAGATAAGCAAGTTGTATTTAGTTTCATTGCAAATGTGACTAGCTTCTCAATTGCAGCAACCATATGAGGCTGGCAGCCTTCTAAGCTGATAGGAAGAGCTGATTTTTGCTCAGTTTCCCCTCGGCTCTACTAAGTAAAAAGGCACATCCATGTAAAAACCAGCACTGAAGAACTTGGCACATAAGCATACTGGGGAGAGACTGCCTGGGATCATTTTTGTCTGCTTGGAGGAAACAAACTTTTTTACTGTCCTTACATTTCTGTAGGTCTTACTTGGTAAGCATCTGCTTTCCGGCAGTTTTTTTCTTCTTTTTTTGCTAGGCTAAATTCTTCAACAAAAAGATGAATTTATATTTAAATGAATAATTGGGAAACTCTGGGTAAATACATTTCTAGAAATGCATGCATTCCTGGACATACAGAGTCATGTACATGCAGATAGGTACAGCTTGGAAACTGCTCTTTCTACTACACCTGTTGAAAAGCCTGCCACTGCAGGTTGTCACTGAGCTCCTGGCTGCTCCATGTCATCAAGGCCATTCTCTTTCTCACGCCTTACAGCTGGGACTGCTGGGTTGGGGCTGTCTTCTTTTGCTGGAATGGGTGACGTCACTGTGTTTACACTAGTTTGATGGCACAGCTCTCTGAACCAGGAATGTTGAGAATGGGGCCTGTGTTGAATCATGCACTCTGCTGTCAGCTCTGTTGTGAGCGAAGAATTGGCGGTGCTTGTGCTGAGTGCAGGCCTTTTGAGTCCTGGCAGAATGTGTCGAGGCTGCACTTTTTCCCTTTGCAGCCATTGCACTTGGCACTTTCCAGTGTGATCTTTCTTCGGGAAGCTGTCAAAAAGCTGAGAAATCAGCAGTCTGGGGAGTTAGACCAAGTTTGTCTCTGTCTGGATGCCAGGTCTCTCTGGTTGTCCTCTTGCAGGATATTAATAAGTCCTGCTTCTGTGGGTGGCAAATCAGTCCTCTAGAAGGGCCTAGTGCCTTCCCAGTTGTGCTGGTTGTGTTGTATTGTAAGTTTACCCAATTCTTGACTGTTCTCAGCCCCTTTAAAATGAATGTTTCTAGTAATAAACATTGTGCTTGCCCTGGGCAGAGACTCAAAGCATATTCCTTCTGCTAAAATGTCAGCAGATTCTTAACATTTCTATGCTCTGGTAAGTTTGAATATCCTCATACTTCAGTCTATTGAAATTTATGCAGTGTTTGACCATTTCCCCAACCATTTACCAAGCAGTGGTAGAAAACGGAATAATGAACATCCTTTCCAGACAGCATCATTTTGTGCCTTCTTCTCTCTAGATGTTAATAAGTTACTGCATTCTAAGCACTGATCTTGATATATATGTATATTAGAGTTCTGGACTTGCTTTATGAGGGTATTTCTGTCTTTGCATGTGCTTAATGTCTGAGTAGTGTTTCCCAGGGACTGAACCAACCTGGCATTGTGAAAGCTAAGATAGCATTATTTGTGCTGACTTCATGGCTTATGGTGGGTCTTTAGTAATGTAATTTCTGTTCCAAAGAACAGTCCTGGTTCTTATGAGCACTTGTAATGGTTCCTAATATTCCCATGTGCCACAAGCAAAACCTATAGAAGAAGTTGTGGGGAGGGGTGGGGTGGGGAACCTCAGACCTGATGGTAAAACATGGGTCATCTGGGGTGCCCAGGTGGCTGCTCAATTTCTTCCAACCACTGATTGTTTGGTAGTTTCCTGCCTTTTGTGCATATTTTCCACTATTCTGGAAGACTGAAATTCCTCTCCTAGGGTTTAGTTGGTGAAAATAACAGTTTCAAAATGCAGACTCTTTGTATTCTTTTTCCTTTTCCTTTGACCCCTTTGCCTTCAACTTGGCCTACCACTGGAAAGCACAAGAGCATCTCCAAATTTGAATTTGGCCCTTGGATTGAAACAGGTTCCCCATCCCTAGTTCACAATATGAGTTCTGTGTTTTTTCAAATTTTTGTTTTTGTTTTCCCAGAAGTAAGATGACTGCACTTGGTTTTTAGACATACCACAGCTGGGAAAATGAAAACAAACAGATTTGACATGGGAAGGCATTCTTGCATGGCCCCCAGAATTTCTTTAACTAATATGGAAAGAGCATGATTTCTCAGACCATGTTATGAGGTCCGAAAGTACCCTTTATCCTCTTGTAACTTCTGCTTGTGGGATGGCTGTGCTGTTGCTGTCCTGGTCTATTTCCGGGATGAAGACATGACTAGTAATCATTGTTTCTTTTGCCCACATACTTTTAGACTGCTGGCTCCTGAATACCGGTCCAATCCTGTCTGCAATCAGTGTCGCGGATGGTATGGCAGAGTGAGCTGTGCACACTTTGCTTTCAGATTAGTAATTGCTTGGAGCTTGCTTGTCAGTTTCAAAGACAAAAATAAGTTGGTGGGGTCCTTTTGGGAAGACAGCTGTGGCCCACCGTGTTAGGACACGGTAAGCCTTTAATCAGTGACCAGAACCATGTCCTTTGGGCATAAACACTTCGCTTGTCAGCGGTTTTCAGTGCTCGAGGAATATCCAAGTTGTTACTGGCCTATTAGTGATCTTGGAAAGCGCTGAAGCCATCCCTTCTGGGGGTGCTGCTGGGGGACTGCTTCTTGGCTTTTGCTGACACTAGCTTGTCTTAATTCTCTGCTATAAATGTGAACTGATGTTTTATGCATTTAACAAACAAGAACATGGGCTGTGTAGGAGAGGCATTTATTATGCCATGTAAGTGCTGATGATGTGCTTGGTTGGGAGCTGGATGTCAAGATATCCCTGTCTGAATGCACATACTGACTCTTTCAGCCCTGAGACATCCCTGCCACAGCAGCAGATTTTCCTCTTGCCTAGGGAACAGCTGTAGTTTCTGAGCTGATCCAGAGCAGTAACGAAAGGTAGAGAACTTACTAATACCTAATACTCATGCGAGTGCATGTGTATGTATTTGAGGGTCTCGGGAAAGGGAGACATATGACCTGCAAGATCTTTTGCTGTGATCTCAGGTTTTGTGTACGAAAAATTAACTACTCCTGCATGTAATTTCAGGTTGGGTCTTGAGCACTGGTTGACAGGATTCTGTGTTTTGCTTGTGGGACAGGGGCAGTCAGTTCTGGTTTACACAAAAAACAGCATTGGATGATGAGATCTGTTTGCATATTATGCCTTTTTGGTGAAGTCACCTGGGCATTCTGTTTGGAAATTAGAAGAAGTGATTCCATAATGTTTTGGAAAAGAATGTCCATTAACAAGCATTATGGTCTGTACTTAGCAATAAAAATGTACTGGCAAATGCAGTTACTGTCCCAGAGAGGTTATGTTCCCTGTGAATTTTGGTATTGTAATGTTGTTATCCCCTCTAGGCTAACACAGTGGATTATGAAATGTGGAAGCATAATTGGTGTGGGTTCTTTCATGTATCTTCTCATTCCTGGGATAAACCTTGTTTGCATGTTCCAAGCTTGTTTCTGAAATAATAACTACTGGAATCTTGAGAACCTTGCACTTTTTTTTTTGTTAACTTACATTACAGTTAGTAAAAATTTCCCCAGTGGCGCACATGTTCTGGAAATGCAGAACAATGTGACATAAATCAGTAGGCTAGTAGAGTGACTGTGCATAAATGTTCTTGGTTTTATACCCGTTAAAACAAAAAGAGGAATGTGAAAAAATCCTAGTTCTTTGTTGGTAAAGGGTGGAGGGAGGACAGGGTTATACCGACTGGATGGGGAGATGGACAGAAGTTAGCTGTTCCTTCTGACTATCAGAAACCCACCCTGACTTCTTTTAGTTTTTCGGCTGTATGAGTTTCTGTCCACTGCCACCCCTGCTAACATGAGTGGCAAAAGGTACTTAAAAGAAAAACAAGAAGATCTGAATACGGCAAAAGCAGTATCTTCTGCTCCCAGTAGCCAGATTATTCAATTTATGCTATCGGCTAGAACAAAGCAGCTTTCTAGGCTTCTGTGTGTTCCCCTTCATTCTCTTGAGAACGTAAAATATTTAGCCATCATCACTAGCAGCTGCTAAGAGCATTATCCTATATGGACTTGTCTAATCCCCTTTTATCTAAGTTGGTGGCCATGATGATATCATATGGTAGTAATTTCACTTTGTGCTTTGTGGAAAAGTGCTTCCTTTTTTGTCATGAATCTCCTGTCCTTCAGCTTCACGTGGATGATCCTAGTCTCTAGTATGATGCATCTGACTTCCCCATGTTATATGCCTCTGTCCTATCCCCCCACGTTTCTTGCATTTTTCTAAGAGCCCCACACCATGTAACCTTCCCCACTAGGGGCATTGTTCTGGCCCCATCATTATTTTAGTTACCCTTTTCTACATGTTTACCAGTTCTACAATATACTTTCTGGGGTGCAGTAATCAGACTTGGCCATGGTATTCCAAGTGAGGTTGCACCACAGATTTCTGTAAGGGAAGTATGCTATTGACAGTTTTATTTTTGATTCCTGTCCTAATAATCTCCAGCATGGATTTCGCCTTTTCCATAACCACTGCACACCAGTGTGGTACTTTTATTGGACTGTCCCCCACAACCTCAGGATCCCTTTCTTGCTCAGTCACCACCAACTCAGGCCCCCTAAGTGTGGATGTGAAGTTAGGATGTTTTGCTCCAAAATGCCTCACCTGGCATTTGCTTTCATTGAAGCACATTTTTCATTATTCCTCTGGTTTGACGATAGCAGCTCTTGGAGCTCTTTGCTGTCACTTTTTGTTTGAAAAATTAAATTGGTGCTGTCCACAGATCTGGCCATCTCGCTGTTCCCCCTCAGTTCCCCGCAACGCGTGGCTGCTCATCTCCCCAGAGAAAGAATGCTTCAGACAGGAGGGGTCAGTTCATATGCACCAGGCTCTTGGGCTGCAACTCTCCTGCTGGGTTATACTCCAAGGCGTGCACTGTGAGCGAGCCGGCTAGTATGCTGAGTCAGCATGACTGGCTCAGCACAGCCGTGCAGGACCCTGGCTGCCAGGCTATTTTTAAATGTGGCTTCATTCTGAGCTGGCTCCTCCCAGGGTGCTTAATCCCCTCTCCCCTGCCCTCTCCTGCCATTTGTTTGTGAGTATTGTAGAGAGCGGTGGGGCTGGCAGGGACAGGGGGTGGTCAGCCGCTCTTGTAAGTTCCTCAGCATGGCTCGTGGCTGTGCAGAGCACCTGGAGCCTGGCTCCTGTCGGGAGCCCTGCCACTTTCCCGGTCTAGCTGCTGGGCCAAATGAGTGCCTTTCGTGAAGGAATGCTCTGGAATGTGAGTTTGGTGACCTCTGGCCATTCTCTTTTGCAGAAACTGATTGCAAAGGCTTGCGTGTTATGACGACCCCCAACAAAGGAAACAAAGCCTTGAAGGTAATAGGGCGAAACGGGGGCTGACGTGGTCCGTGCGCATTGCCAGAGCTCTGGTGATGCATGTGTTCCCTTCTGCCCCGCAGGTGAAGCGGGAGCCAGGGGAGAATGGGACCAGCTTGACGGATGAAGAACTGGTGACCATGTCTGTGCGGGAGCTGAACCAGCATCTGCGGGGCTTGTCGAAGGAGGAGATAATCCAGCTCAAGCAACGCCGGCGGACCCTGAAGAACAGGGGCTATGCTGCCAGCTGCCGTGTCAAGAGGGTGACACAGAAGGAGGAGCTGGAGAAGCAGAAGGCAGAACTTCAGCAGGAGGTGGAGAAGCTGGCCTCGGAGAATGCCAGCATGAAAATGGAACTCGATGCCCTGCGCTCCAAGTACGAGGCGCTGCAGAACTTCGCCCGGACCGTGGCCCGGAGCCCTGTCACCCCTGCCCGGGGCCCACTTGCTTCCAGCATGGGGCCTCTTGTGCCCGGCAAGGTTGCCACCACCAGCGTCATCACGATAGTGAAATCCAAAACGGACGCCCGGTCTTAGTGAAACGAGCACTGCCTGGGCTTGTGTGTGCAGGGCAGTTAGGCACAAAGCTCATCCGGAATCCCCAAAGCACAACCCCTTCCCAGGTGGCCTAGCCCACACAGGCACATGCTGGCCTGCTTGTCACTGCAGTCCCTTTGTTTTTAGCTTTGTTCTGGTTGGTGTGACTGATGGTAATGCAATCCTTCTATGTGAGCAGAACCTTCCATCCAGGGGTATTCTGGAAACAGAGGCGGAAGGACCTCAGTACTCTAGCCAAAGAGATTCTCAGCAGCATGGAGTAAATTTTGGGGAGGAATAACCCAAAGGGGAGGGCTGAGGTCCTAGAAAGTTGGAAGACCTGCTGTCAGTGATGACTTTATACCATTCTTCCAAGGTTGTGTGTCAGCTGTCCAGTCTGCTGCTTGTAAATTGCTTGGTATCAGTGACGATAATGGGGGTAGTTTGTGTAACCATTTTTATATTGACATCTAGTTGCGCCTTGTATGTTTAAAGGTGGGATTCCTTGGGACTTTTCCTGACGGGGGGAGGGAAGGGGAGAATGGCGGTTTCCTGGTGCCTGTGCTGCAGAGAAGGGAAAGGAACCAGGGATGGGCACTGTGGTAGCCTGGCTGCCAGGAGGAAGGCAGGTTGTGCCATGGTGAGTGACTACAGGCCGGTTTTGTGCCTGACGTGTTGCACTGAACAAGACCAAAATCACTAGTTGTTTCCTGTGTTTGGAGAGTATCAAGTGTCTCTAGTGTGATGGTTTACACAACCAGTTTATGTGGTTTAAATAGCCCTTTATTTAAGAGAGAAACATTCATTTTAAAGAACTATTAAAAGATCTACGTTTCAAAACTAAATCGGATGTAGAACTTGTATTTCACAGTCTCCTTTTTAACCCGAGAGGTTGGGAATATTTGATTGTCCTATTCTTGGAGACTTTGCTAGCTTAAAACAAATGCAAATTTTAAAAGTTTCTCGCTAAGTCTTTGTGGCTCTGAGGTTGGTTTTTATAAAGAGTTATCAGACTTTTATTTATAAATAATGTAGGAAAAAAACAAACAAAAAAAGGCTAGTCCTGTTTGATATCTTTTTGCAATTGTACCAAAAGTGACTTACTCTTGAACTCCTCACCGACTGCTTTTGTGCTCCTGCTGTGTTTCGTTGTCTGTGCTCTGAGGTCTCGTGTGGCGCTGTGACGTGCTGGTGCCATTGGCCACCTTTGCTGTGTGGATGTCCTGTGAGCATTCGTTTTGCTTCCCCTGGGCTGAGTGCAGGGCTTTCTGGGGCATTTCCCAGCGGACCGTTTAAAGGTTGTGTCTTGCGAGAAAGGTTACCCGTATCCGAAGGCAGTGCTTCTTGGCCACTGAAGCCGGAAGTGAAGCAACTGCTCTGGGGTGCCACTAAAACTTAACGACAGCTAGTAGACAGTGTTCCATTCTCCCATGTCACTTGCATCACAGCTCCCAAAGTCAGCTGTCTTAGTCTTGTCGATCCTAAAGACTAAATCTAACAAAAGTGGGGTGGAGAGGGCACTCTCATTATATGGGAAGGTGAAACAAAGTGTGGGGTGGGTGCCATGTCCCATAGAACAAGTGTTTCATAGAGTTGGGTTACTGGTAGCTTCTGTTAGGTTCTCCCTTCTGGCAGGATTGTCTAGCTACCAATGCTACTGTCTTTTTAAAAAATCCCTGGGTGCTTGCTTTCTGTTCTCAGACATATGGAGAAGTAGTTAAGCAGCTGAGCTGGAAACTCCATAAGGGCTAATAAGTGTGTGTGTGGGTGGGGGGGTCGCTCTGAACCAGGCAAGTCCAACCTCACTGTTTAGCTTCTAGATGCTTAAAATATTTCATTGGAAGCCTTTGTCCCTGTGTTCTTTGAAGGAGCTATGACTCCTTTTGGGGGACAGTCAGCAGTGGATTGAAAAGGGAAGGGAAGCATTCTCCTGCCTTGAGTACTGCAATCCAGAAGTACTTGGCCCATACAGAATAGGTGGTGGGTGGTCTCATTATCAAGAGGGAACATGTTGTGATCTCAGCTGATTTGTTGGAATATTTGTTAGAATATTATTGCAGGAGGGCTTTTTAAACCTGAGGCTTTGCCTAGCAAAAGGTGCCCTTCAGAGAGAGCCCAATTAGTGGTGGCTGGGGAGCCTGGGGGTGCTGGTCCAGAACATACTGAGAATTCTTGATTTAACCAGCGTGTGACAAATAGTACAATGAGCAGCTTGTGGATTGGCAGACATTAGACACTGTCAGAATCTTGCAGAAACTGGTGGCTTTTTAAGAAAACTTTAGCTTACCTTACAACAGATTCTGAGTCTCAGTGTTAAGAGGACAAAGAAACTTGGGGAGCAATACTATGCATATTCATAGGGAAAAAGTCCTCCAACTCTCAGCACACCCCAACCAGCATAAGATCGCACCCTTAGTTTACTGCCTGAAATGAGCTAGAGGCCAAATTCCCAGCCAGCAAATATCCAGGGAAAAATCCAATGATTTTTAACCAAAAATGCCTCTTCCACTTCCATTTGGTGAAAATCAATTCTTCCAAATCATCTTCCTAATGCCTACCCTGTAAGAGCTCCACTGCTTGGAATATATCACAGGCATAGAGGAAAGAAAGCTTTAAATGTGGATTGGCTGTCATGTCCTCTTCTTGATGTCTGCTGAAACGCTTCCCCCTGCACGCGCAAGGAACGCTGTTCTGCCGCAGACCTGGAGTGGAAGGGCAGTGCTTCTCGCCACCAGCAGTAGTTCCTGTAAGTATCCTGGCCAGCCTTTTGAGGCCAGACGGGGATACTTTTCTGCTGCTCTTTGCCCACAAGAACTGCAGTTGTGCAAAGAGCAGCTCAGGGATGTATGAGAACAAAGAAGGACAGATTGCAAGCAGGGAGAAAAATAAAAGGGAGCTCTGGTGTGGACACCTCTCCACTCTTACGTGCAGGTTGCATTCAAGAAATCCCATCTACCGCACCTGCTACTCCCTACTGCAAATTTAAAAGGAATTGACAAAGGACAAGCAGTGGCAGTTATTGGCAAGCCCTTCCTCAAGGCCAGCAGGCTTCTGATGCTGAAAAAGGCTGAACTGTATGGCGTGTGTTAGGAGTGTTGTGGCCGTACTGGAGCCTGCCTGATAAGGCTGCAAGGGTTTATGCCTGTCACTCCTGGATCAAAAGGCTTAGGAACCAATGGATGTCTATGTGGGATTGCTGGAGCCAGAGCTTTCCTACTTTCTGCTGTTTCATTTCCCTCTACCTCTTTATGCATCTTTCCCCCCATCCTTAAGCTGTGCATATTTTCTTCCCTTCATTGCCTTCCACTTTCTAGTCCTTGCCAAAGAAATCCAGATTCTGTGAAAACCAAACAATTATAATCTGTGAAAGCAATATTTACGCACACTTGTCAAGCTCACAAACCACAATAGCAGGTAACCAGTTTCCTAGTCCCCAGATTTACAAGCAAGAGGTGGGGGCTGAAATGACATTTTAGATCTCCTAGTCAGAGCTTCCTTTCGAGAGCTGCATAAAGGGCACTTGTGTGGCCTGCATTTCTGAGCTCATCCCTGAGCATACTCTTCAATCTGCTGACTGCTGTTTCTCTTCAGCCTGCCTCTCCATTTGCATTGGTGTGCTTCTCTGTACTGTATTCTCTTACAGCCCCGTGGAAAGCCAGGAGAGAACATCAGTGGTAGTTCCATGCTTTGATCTTCAGATATAGCTTGTATGGTTACCTGTTTGGGCGGGGCTGCCTTTCTAGGGTAGGAGTTTCTTTTCAGCGAAACTAACATTTCAGCCATCTTGGTTCAATCCTTTGACTGCAGTGCTGTTACGGTCAGACATTCTAGTCCTTTCTTCATGAGCAGTTCCCACTCTGTGGAATCGGCTGGGCTTCCGTTGCTGCTTCCTCTTATTCAGTTGCTTACTTTTCATGTACATCTGGAATAACTTGAGGCATCTTTAATGAAAAATTTCCTTGTAATACTTCCAGAGGGGGAGTCATGGAGGCCCGTTGTAACGAAAACAAGGGGTGTTGTGGCATCATATAGACCGACATACTTACTCTGGCATATATACATTTGGGGACTGGAATCCCTTTCAATGGGTGCACCAAGTGTTTGGCCCACCTGAAGCAGCCATGTGTAGATACACTGGTCAACTTGGGGGGGTAACACATCATGAATCCAGTGAAATGGGCCCTAGCCTACAAAAAGTATATCCTGTATTCGGTGTATCAGCCTTTAAGGTGCCACAGGACACCTGTCTTTCCTCTAGAGTTGCACCTCTTGCCCTTCTTAAGGCCTGAGAAGTGAAAAGCTGTCTGCATCTAAGTTGGCTGGTGGAAGTAGCAGGTGCTTAGCCTTGTATACGGTGGGTGTGTTTTGAGCATCTTTTAGCACTGAATGTGTGAAATTGAAATAATGAATCTTCCAGCAGCCGGGGAGATCCTTCACACTGCCCATCTTCCCTCACCTATTTTCAGTCTGTCTGCTTCTAGTGTTCATGAGTTCTTCCTATCCCTGATGCCCCTCTCGAGCCCTTCCCCTTGATTTCTCTTTCTGGTATATAGCATTCGGAGTGTGATGGTTCTTGTTTTCAAGGTGCTTGTTTGTTTGGTTTTCCTGCTGTGAAGGGTGTTGTGTTTTCATTTTGCTTTTTTTTTTTTCCTTTTGGGGCATTTTGTTTGATGCAACAGGTGGAGAGCACTGCTTTTTACTTGGCTGCAGAACAAATCCGTGAAGTATAATTCCGCCCACGTGTGGCTGGCTTGTGGCGGGGGGTGGTGGGGGACTTGTTTATGTTGTGGTGACTTGTGTAAAAGTGATCTCTTGGATTATGAAAGAATTTCTCTCCAGAAAAAGAGTGAGAGAGACTGCAGGCTCACAGCTGGGGTATTTGACTCTTGGGCATGGGTAGAGACCGCTCAGACTTGCACTTGGGGGTGTGATTTTGGATCAAATAGCTGAGTGTGTGTATGGAGACGGGCACACACATGTGTGTACACACTCTCACTCTGCACGTTCTGATATGCATATAAGATATTGCATCTCCGGTATTCCTTTAACTCATCCAAAACACACTTGTCACACTCCAGAAAAGTGGCAGGATGGCATCTCTGTGTACATCACTGAGAAACAGACTTGACATTCCTGTATGCTGAAGAAGGTTTACCCAGACTTAGCTGGGTAGCTCCAGTGGTATCTGCACTTCTCTCCCAATGGAAGACTGAAGCACTTACTAACAAGCCCCCTCTTCTCGCACCTTCCTGATGTCTCTAGCTGTATTTCATCAGTAACAACAATTGGAAATGCACAGGAAAGCTCCTTTCCTGCTTTGTAACATTGCTGCTCCTGCTGATAACACAGTGGGGAGTGGTGGCTGCTAAAACAGAGTATTGCTCCTCCCTATGCAGAAAGACCAGAAGAGGATCTCATGGCAGCCTGGTGGGAAGCTTCAGGCTGATCCTTCCAAGTGGTGAGGCTTTATCATCTCCTGTCCCACTCCCACTATTTGATCTACACAAGAGCCCCAGATTTTGTGGCTGTCTGTCACCTGGATGAATCAGAGGCATTGTGTACGTGAGTGAGTAGTCTCCTCATTCCTGGTTAAAGTATGTTATTACCTGGCTAGGTCAATAAGGATGGGATCCCCAGATGGCTCCCAGCCAACTTGACTTGCCCTTGCCCACATCTGCAGCTTCCTCTGAATTTATTGCACCCTTTGCCAAACCGGAATATTACAGAGAAACTAGAAATTATGGTGTTTGGAGCACTTAATGAGATGGACTGATGACTGCTCTTTCCCACCCTCCAAATGTTCAAGATAGTCTTTACATGATATGGGTTGAGATAAATTCACTGCTGCTTTAAAATGTTTCTTAAAAGGGGAGGGAGGAGTATTTTGATAAAAAGAATCTCAATCTCCAAAGCTAATAAAACTGGAGATTAATTCTATGTGCCAGGGGTGTAATACATATTGTCAAGTCCTAGGGCTTGTCTGTACAACAGTAGGCCCAATTAATTAATCAGTATTTATTGCTAAATTATTGTCCTTTTTCAATCTGTAAATATCTGATAACTGTTGGGGATTTGTTGCCACAGCCCCAGTGAAGGTGTTGTTAATTTATTTATGTATATAGTGTATGTTTGTTGATATGAAGCATTCTTTATTTTGTATATGACCAATAAACATCTTTAAAGAGGCTGGTCCCTATGATATTACTGACCAGGCTTTTAGGTTGGCAGATTTGTTTTCTACTGAAACTCATTAGGCTTGACCATTTGCATACAATGGATATAATTAAATTTCTTGCTGTAAAAAACAAAACAAAACAGCCAAATTGGTTTCTTGTTTTGTGAATTAGGGACTTCCTGGACAACCCATTCTAACACAATATAGCTCTGCAGTTTTAGCCATTTGTTGCAAGCAATCCAGATAACTTATTTCAGGGTTGTATTTCTGTTGTGTAGTTTCACCAAATACTCTTAAACATTTTGTGTAATTCTTCAGTTGGCATACTCATTACTTTTCTGCCTGCTGGGTGAATTATGCTGGCACCCTCATAACATCAGATAATTGTCCTATATCTTTCTCTTAAAACCTAAAACAATCAAAAAAACTTGTCTCCAAGGGGTGTTGTATGCTTGGATCATTTTTCTGCTTAAAGTTGAAAAGCATGAAGTTACCCCTTCCACTACTCTGCAGTTTTAAAAACAAACTTACATTTATTTGTTAATTAGAAACATTGGCTTTGTTTTCTACAAAGCTTGTTTTTTACTTTTTTTCAAAAGCGTGTTGTAGTAATACTATTACTTATCACAAAAAATGAAAGTAGCAATGTTGGCCAGAGGAAAAATTCTAAATTACACGTGTGGAATTTCTATGTTAGATCAACCAACAGGCCATAAAACTGTTCAAGCTTCCAAGATCTTGAGATCTCCTCATTAGACAAAATCTTTTTTGTAAGATCAGAACTATTGAACTGACATCCAGAGCTTGCACATTTTAGGGAGTGATCCTATGGCCCCTAGTCACTGGCCAAGGTAGGGTTTCTCAGAATCCCAAATCTGAAGTTGAAAACTATGCTGCAACCTTGGATCTCTCCCATAGCTAGTATGAAAAGTTACCATAGCTAGTCAGAAAAGTTACCATATCAGATAAGGGTAAAGGGAGTAAGGAGAGCAACAGATTGCGGAGGCCAGGATATGAGATGTCCTAAGCCTCTGCCAGCTTCCTTCTGTCTCCCCTGAAGTGCTGATGCTAGACAGGCCAAAAAAAAGTCTCCTCCAGCTCTGCATTGGATGCCTGTAACCCATTTCAGGACTTATGGGCATCCTGACAGGATTAAAGATTTAATTATATTTTGATTGTCCAATAAGAGTTCTATACTCTTATGCAGGCTCAGGGAACTGTGCTATTAGAAATGGATTTGGGCTAAAATAGAGTATTTAGAATAGTATAGAAAAGAACTGGCTGTTTTATAAAGATGTGTCCAACTCTTGAGTTAGTAAGATAGGCTGTAGTCACAGATGCCCTCTACACAGCCTCTTGTGGGTTCCAGTGCATTTTGAAAAAGGCATGCAAAGTTATCTATGACCCAAATGGAAAGAAAGCTAACTTTAAAACCTTGCTATGATCTGGATTAACCTATCCCTGAAGGCATAGGTTATGCTAGGATTTTTAAAATGTTTATTCAGAGTTCTTGTGCCTGTCAATTAACCGATTGATCAAAGATTAAACTTTTCTCTGCAGTTTTAGATTTCAGACCTGTGCACCATGGAAATAAGCTTCATTTAACTCTGAGGGCCTTACTTCTGAGTAGATGTGCATTTAATTAATTGTGCATTTCCCAAAAGATCGCACCATGAGGCAAAACTGATTTCTGCTTTTTTCTATTGCGATGAATATATTAGCATTTTTTACCAACTTGGATTAGAAACTCCTGGGTTCTGCTAGTCTATAATTGATAAAGAGTTACAGTAGGTATATTAAAGTTGTTGGAACAATCCACAATTATTATACCCTAAAAATTAAACACTTCAGGGAGAGTCAACCTGAATGTTTAAACTTAATGTTAAAAAGTGTATGATACTTGAACAGAACACATTAACATTTTGTGAAGAAAACATATGCCCCGTTATATTATTTTCTGTTACACGTGCATACATAAATACACACACCACTCTTCCTCTTTTCTAGAATTGTGGTTTCTCTTTCAACACTTGTTGATTATTTTGCTGCCTGAGCCAGAGCTGCAAAGGATACTGCTCTGCTGCAGATCAAGTTATTGTGGCTCCTGAGACAGAACCCTCTCCCCAAGTGCCTCCTCTTCTCCCTGGCAGTAAAAGCACAGGAATAAATTACTGGACATGAATTAGCTGTCTGAAGAGGCCCCATCCCTTTGCCCTCCTACTGAGAGGCCCCTAAGTCTAATTGAGGTGCGGAAGAAAAAGAACGGAAGTGCACTCGTCCAGCCTAGCATAGAGGATGCTTGCTTGTAGTTGAAGTGCTGGCTACAGCGAAATACGCTAATAAGTGAAAGTTTAATTATTTTAGGTTTTTATATTACATTGCATATAGATTTTATTGAACTTTTTGGAACTATATATAAAGGCCATATAAATCAAGGCCCCAAGCCTCCCCTCCCGATACAATAAAAGGGTAGGCTGTCCCCGTGAAGGATGATCGGGGCTTCATGGCATGTATGAAATACGTGGTAACCATTAGAAAAAAGGCGGTCGCTGTCTCCATCTTCCTTGAGTGCTCTTCTGATAATATCAGATGTATAGATACGATTGAAAAGCGAACCTTTTTGGTCGGCTTCTGCAGCTAAAGACAGCAATTTAAAAAAAAAGTCGCCTTGAGAGTGATTCTTAACACCAACAGTTACTTAGCTGTCACCTCTTATCAGCGAAAGTGCAGCTTAAAAAAATGCTCCACCCGACAGCTGGCGAGCTTACTCGGCATGAGCTCCCAGACTCCCGTGTGTGCGTGGTTGCACATTCCCACGGGCTCCTGACCTGTTCATACAGTCCAGCGGTTTGAGAACGCGTGCACGGCTGTGCCGCGAGGCAACAGCCCATCTTGCCCTGGCTCGCTACAGGCATCCTGAGGACGCACGCGGAGCGGCGACATTCTAGCCCTTCGCGTCTCTATGATGGATGCCGGAAGTGTCGGCGCGGGCTGGGCGTTGGGTCTTCTACCCCTTGAAAGAGCGGCTCAGCGAGCGTCGTCGACTTCTATGTAGCTCTGATTACGAGCGCTGTGGCTCCTGCCCCCGCCGCGTCTTCTGGGCGACCGGAAGCGGAACTAGCTGGAGCCGTGCCTCAGGCCGGTTGATACCCGGAAGCAGCCCGGGCGATGGCGGCTGGTCGGAGTTTGAGTCGCTCGGAGCGGAAAGCGGCAGCTCGCGCCGAGTTCCTCCGACAAGAAGAGCAGCGAGAGCGACGGAGACAGGTGTGGTTGGGGCGCTGCGAGGGGGCTTGCAGGTGTGTCGCTTCCATGTGCCGCAGCACGCCTCCTGGCTTACTTTTCTGTGCCTGCGTCCCCCCTCCCTTCAGGTTTCTCGCATCCTGCACAAGCCGGCGGCGGAGCGGAGCCCCGACGAGGCTGTGCTTTTGTCTGGGAGTCAGGAAATCGTGCGGGATCTGGAGCGGCTTCGCAAGAAGCGCGAGAGGCTGCGGCGCCGGCTGGAGGAGGTGAGTGAACGCCCTTCTAGCTCAGCTTCTTGGCGAGGTTCAGAGGGTGCTGCCATATCCGTTTGAGACAGTAGAAAGGGCTACAGGTAGATTCTAATATATCTTCTTTCCACGCCTCTTTTAAAGGACTGTATAGTGTTAACAAGGGCGAATAACATGGCTCTCCTCGTTGAGAATTCTGTGGCATCTGCAGCTAAAAGGCAGAGCAAGCTGCACATGTGGAAGTTTCAAGGAAAGAGGAATTGTACGCTGGTCTATCTATGCTACCAAACTCTTCCTTTGGTTGCTAACTTCCCCTGCTTCTCCCACTTGTACAGGAAGGGAAAACTAGCTGTCAGTGGAGAAATGGATCAGTCGGCAGTTCCTGCTTTCATACATATATGACTTTTTCTGCATGTCAGCAGCAAGGCCAGCTGCTTTTATATCATAAATGTAACCTCTAGGTTAGTGTTCAGATATTACAAAATCCAGGCCATTCCTGCATGTGCCTGAAATTTGCATTGTATTAAAATACATTCCAAGCAAATATGTCTAGGATTTAGATTCTAATTTGCTCTCTCCTTGTTCTTAATAGTCTGGCTATATGATTTTTTTTTCTGCTTGTCCGTATTACCTCCCCTATCTCTCACTAATTTGCGTCCTCTACATGTTTTTCATCTGTTGCATATCTTCCCTTACAAAAGTTGTAAAGAAAAGGAAGGTAAGAGAAGGGTCTAATATGTATGGATTTTGTAGTATCAGAAAGTGGTCAGAATGGGAAAACTTAGCTGAAATATGGTGCATTGGGAACCATTTGAAGACTCCTCACCCCAATTTATGCATGCTCAGGTGTGTGATGAACCTGAAGAGTTGAAGAAAAAAGTTACCAAACTCTCTGCAGTTGTGCGTGCAGCTAAGCATCTCATCATATATACAGGAGCTGGCATCAGCACGGTAGGACTGTATTGGTGGCTCTTCTGAGGTCACTTCTGACAAAATCTTGTAGTAACTTATACTTTTAGAGCAGGGCTACACATTCTGTTCACCATGCAAGAGCAGCCCAGCTCTGATTCCCTCACTGACAAATAGAAGTAAGTCACAATGCTGATTTCAGCATCTCTGTTAAAGGATGGGAGTTGTGGCATCTCTGCAAGTTACATTTGACTATGTGTTGCATAGTTGATTGTCCTTGACATGCTCTGGGAAAGACTGAAATTTTTCCATTAATGTGTTTTCATTGTAGTTGGTCACAGTGAATATTACTAGGTGTCATCTCAAATTGGTGGTATGACATCAATTTTAACTGCTGTCTTTTTCCTGGAGAAATAGCTAGTCTTCTGTTTGCCCAGCTTTTCCATCCAGATTGCCATTGAGAGCCAGTCTCCATGCTGTGCTACATATATCAAGGAACTTGGTTCTTGTTCAGAATGTAGAATGCTCCCTCCAGAGGTAGTTGCTACAGGCAGGAAAGTCTGGAAAGGCGCAGAAGACTTGGTTGCCATTTGGTGTCCCTGTGCTTCTGGTAAAGGACACAGCATAGCAGCTTGCCCTTCATAAAACAGCTGTTTGACAGTGGGAGGGAGCAGTTGAGCCATTTTGATATATTGGGCAACTAGTCTTCCTAGCAGTGTGGGAGGTAGAATTACAGGGCAAATTAATAATTTGCTTGCTGTGTGAATGCCACGATAACCTGGTTCATGTGATCGAACCATTCAGTGTGGCTTATTCAAGTGAGTGCTAGAGGACATTTGAATATTATTTTATTATTAAAGTATATTAAGTACCTGGCTGCAGTTTGTCAGGCCATACAAACCCAGGGAACATTGATAATGGGAAGTTAAACAACCCTCACATGATAGATGCTCCCTGCATTTGCATGATATGAAAAGCTGCACCTAGGCACTGAACATGCACATTCTGCCAGGCATGCACCACAGCCAGCTGTAGATTAAACAACCCACAGCCAGTTTTGCTTGCAAATGCACCTACTTATAACTTGACCCTAAATCACGAATTCTAAGAAGCATTTGGGATTAGGGTTAGTTCTCCTCTCTTGACAGAGGAAAATGCTGAGGACGTTCATTAGGCAGATTCAGTAAGACATTAAATGGGCTGATGAACAAGTGCTTGTGCTACACATGGTTTTGATTATTTGAATGATGGTAGGCCTGGTATAGTGGAGAAGCATCTATGGAGGGAGCTTTGGAATATGCAGTACCTGTAGAAAGTGACAGGCAGAGGTGTTTGCAAATTTGGGTGAGGCTGCGCATTTTTGAAGTGCCACCTAGGAAGGTTCCTGTTTCTTTTGTGTCTCTTGGTAATGCAGGCAGCTTCGATTCCTGACTACAGAGGCCCAAATGGGGTGTGGACAATGCTGCAGAAAGGAAGGAGTATCAGGTAATCATCACTGATAGTTCAAATAGCTTCTTCCTGCCATCGGAGTTTGTTGAGAGAGGCTGTATAGCGGGGGTCCTCAAACTTTTTCAATATGGGGCCAGTTGAAAGGCGGCAGTGACTCGCACAGGCCGGTGAAGTGGGGGTGCCTGGGGGCATGGGCCGGTGAGGTGCCGTCGGGCGTGCACGTGGCGGCGACATCAGGTGCATGTGGCAGTGGCTCGTTCGCTCAGAGATCTCCCAGCGAGTCCAAAACCATCTCCAAGTGAGCAAGCCACCACCTCCCCGCCCTCACTGTGAGCTGGGCGGCAAGCGCGTGCGGGCGGCAGCTTGCTTGCTCAGAGATCTCCCAACGAGTCCAAAACCCTCTCCGAGTGAGCATGCCCTCCCTGCCCGCGGGGTGTGGGGGCGAGCGCATGGGCCAGATAAATGGGCATGGCGGGCCGTAGTTTGAGGAGCCATGCTGTATAGGCTGCACTGGAGGACTCCCTGCTACCTTAACATCTGCCTTTCTTTTCATATACTAGGGCTGCAGATCTGAGTGAAGCAGAGCCCACGCTCACCCACATGAGCATCGCCTGTTTGCACAAGCATAAACTGGTAAGGCCCCTCAAGTGTTAGTGCTGGGTCCCTGGAATGAAGGAGGTGGCAGCTGTGCTGGGGCGCAGTTGGGGTACTAGTTATGAAAGGCATTATTCATATTTTATGTTAAGCCTTGGAAAATTTGGGGTGATGGAGACCCTCTTCATGCAGAGGACTGAGGCCATTGCCTACACATCCTTCTGTGACTTACAGTGGAATGCTATACAAAATGGAGGAGTTACACAGGGCTCAGAGTGGTCAGGAAGATTGGTTTTTGTTCACTTGTTGTAGGCGACACTTCTGAGTCTGCAAATAAAGCAGCTGATTTGGTACGTGGGTCCCTGCAAGGGATGAATTGTAGGCTGGGGTGGTAGGGCATATGTAGTTGTTAGCTGCCATCAAAGGAAGCCAAGGATTCACAAAGAACTACAGACTTGTGACATGTTATACATTTAATAAATAGGATGTTTGGCACACTGTGTTTTATCTGGGCTCCTGTAAAAGCCAGTAGAGTGTTTAGGGTATGTTAATATCGCCATATAAATAGCATCTCCCACAGATGGGCGGCAGTTGACTAGCTTCAGTTTGGGCACACTATATCAGCAGCTGTGTCTATTCTAGAAATCTGTTTGCTAGATCTGGAAAGTGGTGGGTGCAGCTAAAGGCCAAAGGAGCCAAGCTACAACCACAGAACATAGCTAAAGCTTTTACTGCCAGTAACAAAGCCTTACAAGAGACATTTCAAGCTGGCCTACACTTCTGCTTTTCTGGCTCTCACATTGTGAATACAACACTGTGCAGTTTGCTACTCTCATCAGCTGCCATCTGAAATAGGATTAGGGTTCATTTGTGGGATAGAAGTGTAGCCTGCTTTTACTGCATTAGGCAAGGGCATTTGGAGTCTCTTGGGCTCTGCCCGCCAGCTTGGAGTGAAGTCACTTTACTTCCTACCAGCCAGCTGTTCTGTCAGGTTGGCTGTGTTCTGCAGGCCATCTCTTGAGCACTGATGGGAGGATAATGCCTTGCTTTCAACTCTCTGGGTTACTGTTTCCATCCTCAACCCTGCTTCCTTCTTGTTTAGGTGCAGCATGTGGTGTCACAGAACTGTGATGGGCTCCACTTGCGCAGTGGGCTTCCTCGGGAAGCCTTATCTGAGCTGCATGGAAACATGTACATCGAGGTGAGTACTTGCAGAGCAAGTGTGATACAGTGCAACACCGGATTGTCAGAGTACTAACAGATTCTGTGCTTCCATCCAAAACCAGGTTTGCACGTCCTGTACGCCCAATCGTGAATATGTGCGAGTGTTTGATGTGACAGAACGCACAGCCCTGCATAGACACCATACTGGCAGAATGTGCCACAAATGCGGAGCACAGCTAAGAGATACAATTGTACACTTTGGAGAGAAAGGCACCTTACAGCAGCCCTTGAACTGGGAAGCAGCAACAGAAGCTGCAAGCAAAGCAGATGTGATCCTTTGCTTGGGGTCCAGCTTGAAGGTAAAGCAAGAGCTTGTTTATGAACATGGGTGTATCTTTATGAAAATGGGGCAGAAATAAGAATATGCTGTTGCCCTGTTTTCCGTATTCACATACTGACTTAGAGGACAATCATGCTAGGGAAAGCCGAAGGCAAGAAGTGGAAGACGAAGTAAGAGATGAGTTGACTCCATAAAGAAAGCTACAGTCTTGAATTTAGAGCAATTGAGCAGGGAAGTCATGGATAGGATATATTGGAAAGCTTTTATTTGCAGGATCACCATAAGTTGGAGACAACTTGACAGCATGTAACAACACTCCTCTGTGATGTAGTGTTGCACTGAGAGCCAGTGTGGTGCAGTGGTTAAGAGCCGGGGACTGGGACTCAGACATCTGGGTTCTAGTCCCCGCTCGGCCATGGAGCCAACTGGGGGACTTTGGGCCAGTCACAGACTCTCAGCCCAACCTACCTCACAGGGTTGTTGTTGTGGGGATAAGATGGAGGAGGAGAATGATGTAAGCTGCCTTGAGCCCTTTATAGGAAAAGGCAGGATATAAATAGAAAATAAAAAAAAAAATGTGTGAAGATGGCTTCCAGTGCCCACTGCAGACTGTCCAGAAACAAGATGGGTGAGAGGCAGGGATAAGCTGAGCACACCAATGCCTCATATTCCAGGAATCCATGGCTGCCATGCCTTTTGCAGAATTCAACACCTGTGGAACTCCCTCAGAATGCAGATAACTAGTGGCCAGTAAACTTCCCCAGTGTGCTGCCCTGAGTAAGTGGAATACACACACCCTTTCATTAGAATCAAATTGTCTCTATTTCTAGCCCTCTAGAAGGAAGTCCAAAAAACTAAGACCCAAGAAACAAATCAGTACTTTTTTCAGATATTCTGATTTTCAAAATACTAGTTCAGAATACTTAGCAAACTCAACTAGATGACTTACCAGCACAAATCTATGCACGCTTACTTGGAAGTAAGTCCCACTAGATTGTAGCCAGTTAGTCATACTCAGAGTAGACACATTGAAATTAATGGTACTTGAGTTAGACTAACATCGGCTACAACCTATTAGATACAATCCACTTTAATAGGGTTTATTCCCAGCAATATGTACAGAGGATTGTGTCCTTAGCAAGACCAGGGTGTCAGGAACTCTGCCAGAACACTATACAATTTGGGAGCAGACTATGATGCCTTGGTGGAACACTGGCCGTTCCTGGTGTCTCACCTTGTACAGGAGAAACCTATTCCAGACTGCGGTCCAAATTCAGTTTCAAAGCAGTTCTTGCACACAGGCAGCATTCAAGTGATAGGCGTGGCCAAAGGCAAAAGGAGCCAGACTAAAACCACAATAAAATACCAGCCTATTTAGCTTAAAGCTCTTCCTGCCAGTAGCCTTAAAAAAGAAATTTCAAACTTTTAAAATGGGGGAACACAGCACAAAAGTCAGGAAACCACCAAACAATCAGTGCAGGGAATGAAGGTGGAGTCAGGGAGAAGGGACATGGCCATCTGGGGAACCTCAGAAGAGCCAGGCTTGGTTCACAGACAGAACAGTAGAGTCGGAAGGGGCCAAGAAAGCCAGTGCTGGACTCCCAAGTTATACCATCCCCCTCACATGAATGACTTTCTTTTTGAAAGACAACTGCTTCCACTATCATACTGCTCTGACAGTAATCTTTTCTTGATATCTAGCCTGAATCTGCTTTGTCATAGCTTCAGTTGATTATTCCGTGTTCTATAGACTGCTATCAGTGTGAAGAGATCTTGACCTTCCTCTTTGTGACAGCCTCTGAGGTACTTATAGAGTTGTATCAGGTCCTCCCTCAGTCTTTTCTTCTCAAAGCTGAACATTCTCAGTCTCTCCTCAGAGCGCAGTGTTTCCAAACCCTGGATCATTTTGGTTGCCCCGGACTGGAGCCTTTCTAACTTTTCTCCATCTTTCTTAAATCTTGCCACCCAAAATTGGACACAGTATTCTAGGTGAGCTCTGACTAGTGAAGAGTATAAGGGAACTAGTACTTCTTGTGATTTGGAAGTAATATTTCTATTAATGTATCCCAAAATAACATTTGTCCTTCTTGTGGCTGCATCACGTTGTTGGTTCATATTTAGCCTGTTGTCCACAATAACGCCAAGGTATTTTTTCCAGTTCTGTTGAGCTGCATATTCCACATCTTGTATTGATGCATTTGATTTCTTCTTCCTAGGTGGAGGACTTGGCATGTGTCCCTATTGAATCTCATTTGTTGCTTTCAGCCCAGCATTAAAGCTTATCAAGATCAGCCTGATCTTCATTCTGTCTTCCTGGGTGTTCAACTATTCCACCCAGTTTTGAATCTTGTATCTTTGAAGTTAACCTTTGGTTTTGCTTCCAGCTTTATTTTTTAAGGAGTGTTTTCTTTCCCCTGAACATGAATTTGACATCCCTCTTTTCACCAGCATTCAGCCTGATATATTTTGATACATGTACTGATACAGGAAAATGTTTCTCAACATAGGATTCCATTGTTACAACGCTAATAAAATATAATAAATAAGAACTTCCAAAATGTGTATGGAGCAAAAAAAAGTAGTCTGTTACAACATCTTCTACTTTTGTAATCAATTGTTTTCATTGCTAAACCTTGAAAACCAAAATTTCAATTAGCTCATCATTTGTCTTCAGAACACGCCTTTTTAAGTTGTTCTGGAAATACTGCAAACAGATGCATTTTTTATTTTTATTTTATTTATATCCTGCCTTTTTCCTACATGAGCAAAGATGCACAATTGCAAGCTTTCTGAGACCATAAGGTTACTTTCATCTCCTGTCACTGATGGATATTTTGCTTGTCATGTCCTTCTTCCAACAGGTTTTGAAAAAGTATCCACATTTGTGGTGCATGAGCAAGCCACCCAGGCACCGCCCAAAACTCTATATTGTAAATCTCCAGGTGAGTTTGAACCTTGCCATTTATGTACATGGCACTTAACTCTGGTGTTAAAATTTTTACATTGCATTTATATCCTGCCTGTTTTCCTCTGGTGTGGAACCCAAGGCAGCTTATGCAACTCCATTTTATTGAGCAATTCTATGAGGTAGGTTGGACAGAGAGTGAGTTTCGTTTTGCTTTCATTGAATCTATTACATTTCTATGCTACCTAATAGCCAAAGCTCCCTGGGCAACTTACAATATGGTAGAAAATACAACTCAATAGAAATCAAACTTTTAAATGTGTGAAACCATAGTGTAACACCAAAATAGAAACCTCCAGCTGTGTAAAGATCTAAAACTACTGTAGCAGTTTTCAAAACAACATAAACAGATTGATGAAAAAAGGGCAGGGGAATAAAAAGGGCTTTACTTGGTGGTGAAAAGAGACCGAAGTACACACAGGGCAAGCCTTTTTGGGGAAGGCATTCCCCAATCATGACTGAAAAGGCTGTCTTCTTAGTTCTCACTTGCTTCATTTCATTTTCCTGGGATACCAAAAGGGCAGACTCTGAAGCTTATCTTAGAGTCCTCGTGGGTATTTATGGCAGGAGATGATGCTTGTTTCCTCTACTGGTGATTTAAATGCCTGAAGATATTTTTACCTATCTTTACTCTTCCCTTTGTTCTAGTGATGATAAAATGGGCTGAACTGCAGACCTGTGTCCCCAGCTATTTTTAAAGTTTTAGAAGCCAATGTATTCTGAATTATTTAAAGGGCAAACGGTACCAATTATTTACAGTGTCCATTGACAAAGTAATATTATTACTGTTATATCTGCAGTGGACTCCAAAAGATGATCTGGCAGCCCTGAAACTTCATGGGAAATGCGATGATGTGATGAAACTGTTGATGGATGAGCTGGGATTTCCTATCCCTCGTTATGAAAGGTAAGTAAAGAATGGTGCTTCTTATCTTTGTGTACACAATGTTATACATAGCACTCTCCCCCAAGATCTCTCTTCCAAAAGTTGCACAATAAAATGGTGGTATAATTTAATTATGGCTTACTGTGTGGCAGAAACAGGTGTAAAACATATGTCTGACTCTTTATTATAGCTATAAAGTTGATGTTGCAGTCCCAGCCCTGCTGTACAGTGGGGCATTATGCATGGTGACTCCAAACATGGGCTTCTAGTTTTGCCTGTGGTTGAAGATAGTGAGCAAGAAATTCTAAAGTGGTGCTCTAAGTTAACATGGCATATTCTCATCTCTGTCTGTAGAACACAGGACCCCATATTCTCTCTGGCTGTTCCACTGAGACCTGAAGAAGAAGGTAGCCATAGCCGGAAACCTGTGGCCCCCCCAGCAGGTCTTCATGAAGTGCAATTGGAGGAGCAAAAGCAAATTTCTGCAGGTCCCCTTGCTGGTGGCTGGTTTGGCAGAGGCTGTGCAAAAGGCACAAAGAGGAAAAAACCGTCTTGACTATGGACACTTTATTTTTAACCTTGAGGACCAACTGAAGTTGCTCAAATCAGGACAAAAATATCACATCTGCACTGGATTTGACCAGGATTGCTGGGCTAACTGGAAAAAAAATCCACAGCTGCTATTTTCATAGATGTTTTGTATAAATAGCTTGAGAACAGCTAAGAGGCCAAAGCCTTCCTTGGATTCTGCTGTCTGAGGAGAGGTTGGCCTTTGATACTCAGGGCTGCCCATTATTAAATACTATAGAAATTATAACATGGCCAGATGTCTTTTTATTTTGTGGAGAGTACAAACATGGCTGAATGATTGGAGTACAGCTAGTCCCATACTTGTGCCTTAGTAAGCAATGCGTTGGCCACCTCATTTTTGTATTCACGCTGGTCTGAGCATGGGGCTCTTCTTGAATTGATGCTGTAAATAGCTTATCAGTGGAGGGCTATGTTTCTTTAAGATGGGTGTCTGTGCCAGCTCCTTTTAATCTTTTTCTCCTGTTTTATGCAGGGAGGGAGGGAGAAGTCTTTCGGTAGAAGCAGCTGGCTGGTTGCTACTGGAAACCGAGGGCAAACTTGTATGGTCTTTGGTCAGTCCAGTAAACCACAGAGAGGCAGGGGCAGGAGTGGTGAGGATGTAAATAGGGGCAGCCGATTAGTAAGCGGTGCGGGTGGCAGAGCGCGACGGTATCTCTAGGCAGGCCAGCGGGCCATCGGATCAGCTCATTGCAGAGCAGGGATGGCGAGAGCCAAAACGGGGAGAGAGCACTGAACGCCTCGCCGTCCCTCTGCAGAGCCCGAAGGGGCGGGGCACGAGCCCTGTAGGGAAAGCACAGGGAGGCGGGTCGTCTGTTGTCACGTGACGGCAGCCAAAGATGGCCGCGTTCTCGGGAGCTTCGGATCCTCCCTGATCACGTGGCGGGGCAGTGCCCGGCTAGTGGCAGCACCGGTGTCTGGCCAGTTATCCCAGTAGAGAGTCTGGCACTCGCTCGGTAGAGATGCTGCGCAACGGAGCCGCTGGTGCCGCCCCCCCGGCCAACCACTCCGGCCGGCCCGTCCGCGTCTGGTGTGATGGATGGTGAGTATTTGGGGCTGGCAAACCCCGCTCCCAAGGAGCCGGAGCCGGAGCCGGAGCCGGAGCCGGCGGCGGCGCCGGCTTCCTCTTATATTCCTATGGCAACCGCTGCCTGGGCGTCCGCTTGCCACGCAGGGGAGCCTAAACGCGCGCCCCGAGTCCCCATGGCAACGCCGCGCACGCTGCTGCGCTGCTACTCCTGTCCCGGTGTTTGGGTCATCCGTGAGATATTTCCATAAGGAATAGAGCCCACCTCACGGACCGAGGCAGGGACTTATTCGTGCTGCCTGAGTACGTACCACGGTCAAAGTCGGCCCTAGCGGCCAGTTGGTTAGGTTAGGGATGATGGGGGTTGTTGTCCTTACGATGTTGCTGGATTGTAAGTTGCCTTCTCTCGGCCTACAGAATCTCGCAGTCCAAAGGAGGAAATGGACGACACTAAGTATAAGGCTGCAACCTTGGGCACTTACTAAAAGTGCGCTCTGTGAACCCAGTGACGTTTATTTCCCAGTAAACATGCGCATACTCCTGGTTTAGGTCTGTGAAAGGGAGCACGTGTTGCACAGTGCAGGGCTGCTGAAAGGTTTCCTTCATGTTATGCTGAAGCTACTGCCCTTGATAAGACTCATTTGTCCTCTTCATTTTCTTTGGTGGATGTGTTCGAGCAGTCTTTGCATTTTGGGGATGCTTAGGATTTCTGACTCTATGGTATCACCTACTAGCACAGGATGTCTAAGTGTGTGTTGTGTGGGTGAAAGAGGTCAGGCGAGCAGTTTGCATCAGCTGAGTTTTAAGGGCTGGGCTGACTTAGCTGAACCAATCAGAAAGCCAGACTCTTGGCAGGAGTTCCAGTGGTAGGTGGGTGGCAAGAGGATAATCTTTTTCTGTGAGTATCAAATTGCCTTCTGATTGGCCTGACTCCTGAAGCAGGCAAGTGTATGTCCTAATAAACACATTATTCCATCTGAAAGGACTGGGTGTTCCCTTCTCAGAACTATTTGGAAAGGACTTTGGAGCTAATTAGGGTTATAAACATCAGATTCCCTTTTGAGATAAACTGTTTCCCCACTCTGCCCTGAGTTTCCCTTGCTTTGAGGGGTGTGGCCACAAAATAATATTTGCTTATAGCTATCTGTGAGTGTCCCCTGTGACCTGGATTGCCCTTTACTAGCAGGGGTTGTATTTGCCTGGGTCATAGGGCTATTTATCCAAACCATGATTGTAAATGGGAAGAGAGGATGTCTGTGGTGCAAAAACACATCTGCAGGAACTGATAGGAAGTTGCATTGCTCTGCCTTTCAGAAATGGGCACAAATGGCCCTAACTGATGTCTCCTCTTTTCACTATATGCCTCTTTGGGCATCCTGGTGCTATAGAACAATTCTAGAGCAATTTATGTAATGTTCCCTTTTGTATCTTCCTTTCCATCCTCTTTTCTGCCTGACTTTTAGGCTTATGTATATACTAGCATAAGCTTTCTGTTTGGATGTAAGCAATAGTGACAATTTAAAAGCAAAGTCTATTCATTAATCTCTTTGGTTACTTATCAAATTTGTAGTCTGGTTTTCCTCCAGTGAGCTTGGGACACTCCATAGGAGGTGAATCCACTTTTCCTTTCTCGCAACAACTAAATTAGGGTAAGATGTAAATTAGGGTAAGATGTACTGTGGGTGACATGAGATCACTCAGCAAATTTTGTGGTGGAATAGGGAACAGAATCCAGGCTTGCTTTGCCCAAGCCTCTAGAACTGATGTGATGCACTCACACTATTTCTGCAAGGAATCTTGTTTCTAAGCTAATTTGTTTGTGTTCTTATCATAGTCTTTTTATATAGTGCTCATTAATGGACATCTGTTGGCTTCAGACAGGATTGCAGTAGGAACTTTGCGGATGCAGACATTTAGTGCTATGCCCATGATCTTTGTGGAAGAGAATTCAGAGATGTGTGTGGTGACGTGGCTGCTTGCAGTGTCCTGTGACTGCTACTTCTGGGTTCCATTTTGAATCACCTGGTCATTCCGTCTCTATTTCCATTTCTTTAACAAGTCATATCACATTCTCCATTGCTGGTTTCAGGTCACCAATCAGAATGTCTCTTTTAGTTTTTAAAGAACAATCAAACTTTTTAAAAAGCAATATATTACAGTTGCTTTTTGGCAGCTTTACCACTGTTGGTATAGTTAGAAACAATGGCTAAATGGGGACAACCAGCAATCATGGAGTTACCATTTATTTACTTTACAAGGAACAAGAAGACTTTAGCTCACCTTTATATTTTAGGGCAAGGAAAAGATCCAGGAATAATTACACAATAGTAACTGCAGTACTGATTCTCTCGAACACATTGCAAGAGAAATGGCCTCCCAGAGGCATAAGTAGTTAGCTATGGAATGTGATTCCAAGGCAAAAGTGATATGACTGGGAGTATAAACATATAGTAAATCATAATGGTAAGTCAAGGAGTAATAAAGCAAACTGCTCATACAGTTACATTTTCCACTGAAGTATACTGTGGAGTTCAAGCATGTGGTGAAAATGCATTCCAAGAAGTTACTGGGCTGAACTAGGTGTAGTGTGAAAGATCCATGAGCCAATGCTTCAACATTGTCTTTCATGGAATGGAGCTATCCTTGAGGTGACAATGGGGAAGTGGTAGTTAACTGCTGCGCATACCCCACATGCCATTTTCCAGACAGCTGTAAAGGTAGAAAAAAGGCCATACACATGTGTCTCTTTTCCCCATTGGTAGCAAATTAAAGCGAAGTGAGGGGATGGGGAAAAGGTTAACTGCTCTCTATACCAAAGTCCATTTCAGATGGAACTCTGCTCCCAGCAGCTTTTAACCAAAGAGGAAGACATCAGAAAATCTGTGTCTGCTAGTCTCCCTCATCCAGGTCAGTACAGTAACTGCTGTGCAGCAATATTTATTTCCTGTCCTGAATCCTGTGCCCTCTAGCAGTTTTACTTAAAGATGTTTCCCGACAGTTTCTAGTAAAATATTTCAAAAATTTTCCGAAAAAAGTCTTGGGAGCATGGTGGCACTTGTTTAGTGCCATCTATGTACAGTATATCATGCTTTAGAAAGTACAAGAGGATAGTCCTTGCTGCTAGAGTGACTTATAATCTAAAGTTTGACACAAGGAAGTCAACAGAGGAACAGAAGGGAAGGGAAGATTAAGTACAAAGGAAGAACATGCGTGTAATTCAACAATATGTGCTTGGGTTTGCCTTAAAAGTATAAAGACTAATGGATATAACCAGTGCTTTTTTTCTCATAGAACGCACTGGAACAGAGTTCCGGCACCTTTTTTTGACAGATTTTCCAAGTTTTAAAAGTAACTTTTGAAAATTTGATGTTTGGTCCACATGGATTTGAATCACCCTGTTGAGCGTAGCAGGTCGGCGGCAAAATCATTAAAATGGTCCATGCAGGCTGCTTGTGTGTCGAATCTGATGCGTGCGTACTTCGTCTGCACTGGTTGTGATGGCGCTGCTCAGCTTGTGGCGCTGCTTGGCTTGTGATTGGTTGTGTGGTCGCATGCTGAGCTTACTGCGGGTGGCAACCGTTACGTTTCATTACACAACTGACATGTGTGGGTGTGTGTACAGTGATAGACTACATACGAAAGGTAAATAATTTCATGAGTTCCAGCACCTTTTTTCTTACAAAAAAAGCACTGGATATAACTGGGAAAGTAGTTTTTGAAGAGAAATGAAAGAAGTAAGGTTGTATTGGTCTCATGGGAGGCACTTGAGAGCAAGAAGACCATAAATGTTTGAGGAAGTAGATATTTGGAAAGATGGGTAAATCAAAGTTACAGGCAGGAATATGAGAGTGGATAAGGAGAGAAAATAGTCTTGGGGGATTTTGAAGGAAGGAATGAAAAGGAGTAGACAGAAAATTATTGTAGGAATATAAATAGGATGTGTAAAGGGCACAAGAGAGGTAAATAACTTTGGCAGCTGACTTCCAGATAGAAATGAGGGGTTGAAGGCAAGACAGTAAAAGACCACAAAAGACAATAGTCAAAGGAGAACGTCATGACCATCTTGTAGCTAAGTGTCACCATGTATAGTACCAAATACATGATATTTATCATCCAAGGATAGTATATATAGAGAGAATGGAAGAGACCACAGAACAGATCCCTGAAGGATCCCAATTGAGAAATGGAGGGGGAATTCTCACTAGGAAGAGAACCAGATGAGGATAGTCACAGAGATTTCTGAACTAAAGGGAGTAAAGCATGAGAAAGGAATCAGCAGCATCAAAGGTGGCAGAAGGATCAACAAAGTTCAAGCCAGACCTAGGGGTTAGCACTGAGAAGATCATCGATTATTTTGGTGGCACTGGAGTGCAGAGAATGGAAGCTAGAATATTTTTCAGTGGAGTGCAGAGGATGGAAGCCAGAACGTAGGGCTAAAAATGAAAGACTGGAGGAAAGTTGAGACAGTGGAATTAAGCAGCACACTGGGAGTGAGGATGCAAAATGTCAGGAGCTGAGGTTTCTTTTTTGCACATTCAGAGCCACAGACCTTTTCCTTACAAAGCATTCTTTATTGAGTTAAATATATCTGAAGGAGTGTCTCCTTCCCTATGTGCCTATCCGCCTCTTAAGATCTGGGACAAAGGCCCTTCTTCGGGAACCCTCACTGAAGGAGCCTAGGAGGGTGGCTATCCAGAGAAGGGCCTTCTCTGTGGTGGTGCCCCAGTTATGGAATGCACCCCCCAGAGAGGTTCACCTGGTGCCAACACTTTATTCTACATAATATCAGGGATACCCAATCCCCTTATCTATACCATCTTTTTAAAATTTATCCTCTTTTTTATCCCCATTACAAAACTTATTGATCATATCTTGCCACTCTTTTAAATATTTATCTGTTATCTTAATTGGTAGCATCTTAAATAAAAAAAAATCCTAGGCAGTATTTTCATCAAGACAATCCAATCTTCTACCAAACCAAGATAATCCAATCTTCTTTTTTTCAATCATTTTCTCTTTTATTTTGTTTTTCAATTTATCAAAATTATCCTTTTTTAAAAACATCCTTTTAGTTATATTAATACTTAATATTTGATAATTCTGGATATCTTAATCTTAAATTTACTCCTAATTTTTCTTTTTTCTTTTCTTTCTTTATTATTTATTTTATTTATTTAGGGAACTTCTATGCCGCCCCATTCGCCGAAGCCTCGGGGCGACTCACAAACATAAATAAATAACATCATATAGAACAATATAATTTAACAGTATAAATTAAGTTGCCCTGGCCAAAGAATAAAATAAATAAATAATATTAACAATTCAAATAACGTTTGAATAAAAAGGTCTTCGCCTGGCTCCGAAAAACAAATAACGACGGCGCCAGGCGGACCTCTCTTTATCACTATTAAATCAAATCATCTCTGTTTTCTGCCAGTTTATCCTTAAGCTTGCTATCTCTTCAAACTCTTCCAGATGTAATCTAAGCTGATCCATAGCTTCTAATGGATGCTTTATTGTTAAGAAAGTATCATCAGCAAATAAGCTGATCTTAATCTCATTTTTGAAGCCTATACCTTTTATTATATTATCATTCCTAACACAGTTTTCTAATAATTCTATGACTAATGGAAACAGCATTGGAGAAAGGACATCCCTGTCTAGTACCTCGGCTTAGGAATACTTGCTATGTTACACCATGATTTACTATTACATTTACTACATTAGCTTAATATAGTTGTTAAATTATGCCTTTACATTGTTTACCAAATCCTTATGTTTCTGTTAAGATCTTTACTGTTGGCCCTTCCACAGAATCAAAAGCTGTAAAAATATCTAGGAATATTATACGCTGGGAGAGGTCATCAGGAGGTGTGGGCTGCGGAATCATCAGTACACTGAGGATACCCAGCTCTACCTCTCGTTCTCCACCAATCCAGGTGAGGCAGTGGCTGTGCTGAACCGGTGCCTGGCCGAGGTAATGGGCTGGATGACGGCCAATAAACTGAAGCTCAATCCAGACAAGATGGAGGTCCTGTTGGTTGGCGGATCGGGCTTCGGAGAGGGTGAATTGAACTTAGTCCTGAATGGGGTTGCACTCCCTCTTAGGGACAAGGTCCACACCTTGGGAGTACTCCTCGACCCAGAGCTTTCACTGGAAGCTCAGGTGACAGCAGTGGTGAGGAGTGCTTTCCTTCAGCTTCGGGTAATCCACCAGCTGCGCCCCTACTTGGAGAACGACTGCCTGCCGACAGTGACACACACATTGGTGACTTCCCGACTTGACTTCTGTAATGCGCTCTACGTGGGGCTGCCCTTGAAGACGGTCCAGATACTTCAATTGGTTCAAAATAGAGCTGCCAGGCTGCTGACGGGGACTGGGCGTTATGTTCACATGACTCCAGTTCTCCGTCAGCTTCACTGGCTCACCATTGAAGTCTGGGCCCAATTCAAGGTGTTGGTTATGACCTATAAAACCCTTAACGGCTTGGGTCCTGGCTACCTGAAGGAGTGCTTACGTCCATATATGTCCACCCGCCCCTTGAGATCAGCGGGAGAGGCCCTTCTCCGGGAACCCTCCGTGAAGGAAATTAGGAGGGTAAATACTTGGAGGAGGGCTTTCTCTGCAGTGGTGCCCAATCTATGAAACGCGCTCCCCAGAGAGGTCTGTCTGGCACCGTCGTTATTTGCCAGGCGAAGACCTTTTTATTCAAACGTTATTGTAATTGTTAATACTATTTATTTATTTTATTCTTTGGCCAGGGCTACTTAAATTACACTGTTTTATATTGTGTTTATTTATTTATGATTGTGAGCCGCCCCAAGGCTTCGGTGAATGGGGCGGCATAGAGGTTCTCTAAATACATACATACATACATACCAGCTTTGAATTTCCCTTTACCTATATGTGCTAATATAGTCAACACTCTTCTAGTCAGACCTGCCATCTGTCTCCCAGCTATAAAGCCACTTTGATCCATTTTAATATATTTCTTAAATTTATTCATTCTGTTTGCCAATATTGTTAAAAAAATGCATCTTGATTTATTAGAGCTGTCGGTCTGTAAGGCTCTGGGTCAATCAAATCTTTATCGGGCTTAGGAAACAAAATGAATATTTCCAAGATTTTGGCATATTTCCTCCTTGCAGTATTTTATTAAACAGAGTTTTTGGTATCATTTAAAAAAAAAACTTTATAGTTTTCTGGTCCTAATCCATCCATCCCAGGAGATTTCTCTTATTTTCAACCTATTGATACGGTCTTCTATTTCTTCCTCATTGTTTGTTCCATTATGTCTATATCCATCTGTTGTAGCTTTTACCCATTTTTTTCCTTTATATATGATCTAACTTTGTCTAATGATGATTCTCCCCATAAAGTATTTTGGAAAAAATGGTAAAATATTCCTAATTTATCTCTTGCAAGAGTATCTTGCATCTCTGAGCATGGACAGAGCAGTCTGCTGAACGCAATTTACTATTCTCCTCTAAGGCCTTTTGGGAGGAGCCCTCTGAAAGCAGCACACCTTTGCTGCTCACTGTACTGCCCTCCTCTGCTGTCAAGGCATCATGGGATCTAGAGCCAGGGCTGCTTTTCCTGTGTCTGACAAACTCCCCTGCTCCGAGTCTCCTCCTGCCAACCGTTCATCTTGGTTATTCCCAGAAACTGCTTGCCCACCAGGGGTGTCTGGCCTTGAGATAAGTGTCTCTACTTAGACCCCTCTACTCTCCCTCTTTTCCTTTCACTTCTATTCTTCTGAATTCCAGCCAGCAACACTTGAGAACGTGTGCCCAGAGCAGCCATCTTTCTCTCTCCCACAAAACATGAAAGGTACATTGTACCAGGTGTGGAGAATGTTTTTTGGTAGGTAGGTGTAGTCCTTTGAGAGTAATCTATTGCCTCTGGTAAATGAAGCCAAAACCAGCTGTAGTGTGGCCAGAGCCAAAAGTAGGCAGGGGCACCCCTTCCTCTATTTGCCATCCCCTTCTCTTACCCCATTTCAGTACAGAAATCTGAACTGAAAACTTACAATGGACTTTTGGAATTAGGAGAAAGGCTATATGAAATTAGGTTATGGGCTGCAGGTTGCCCACCTATGAGTTGGGCAGTAGTTGGAGATTAGGATTTTCTAAAAATTAATTTGTTTCGAGAATAAGGGAAGCTTGATTGCATTTATTGCAGTAGGAAAGAAGTCAGAGGTGTTTGGGAGAGGTTAATTAACAAATATTTGAACAATATGTGGATTCTCTGCTTCCTGCTAAATTCAGAAATATTGTCATGTTCAGTGTAAAATGTCTTGCTCTCTGGCTTATAGGTTGTAGCAGTTTGGTTAATGGATTTTAAGAGTGGAACTAAAGCGTATTGTGTAAGCTTTGCGTGGGTGTAAGAGGATTATTCCACGTGACTTGGTGTGAAACAGAGCAGGCAAGACCAGTTTTCATTAATAGTTTCTCTTGATTGATTTATTAGTAATTGGTGTTAACTTCTATTGCAGCATTCCAAAATCTGAGTAAAGGAACAGGATGTCCTTAATGAAGGAAGGCCCAGCACCTTAAAGGAAGGTTTTTTATCTCAGCCAGGTCATCTTTCCCTTCTCCCCCATTGCAGGTTTCCTCAGAGATGCAGTTGTCAAAAAAGCAGAAAAGCTCACGAGAGATCCTGCTCTGCTGGCATTGGCTAGACTGCAGAGAGGTGGATGACACCTCCCCAAAGTCTCCACTTGTGGCAGCTGGCATTTGTCTGTCCTCAGTGCCTTAGTGTGGTGTCCCCTGGAATACCAGCTGGAAGACTGGGGTGCGGGGATGACATGGTGCCTGAGGACCTGTGCAGTGCCTGGTTGTTGACTGGTCACAGCTGTGGCCCCTCAGCAAGCTTAAGCCCAGTGTGCTATAGTCACCCTGGGCCTAAAGTTTCATCCAAGCTGACTCTGTTAGGACAGTTTTCCTTTGTTGTGCTTTGCTGTAGGTTGAAATGGGCCCAGTATCTTGCATGTGGTTTCTTCTCTTAGTGTTTTCTGAGTGCACTAGCAACCTCCTGGATTATAGTGCAGCTGGAGGGAGGAAATGGCACCTAGAATTGCTCCAGGTGTCATGATAATTGGATTCGCAATCATGTAGCTGCTGAAAGATAACCTCAGGGAATGCTGGTACCAAGACCCATTCTAAATTGCAATATTATAACTGAGCATCCCTTTAGTAATCGCTCACCTTGAATCTCATACAGTTGCTAAGCCCTGCCAGGCCAGAGACAGATTAAAGCTGAAGAATTCATGTTTTCCTCTTTCTTGTTAATTTGTAACCCTGATTGACATGACTTTTGTTCTGATTACACCTGCAGTTTTAAGCATGGACATCTTTCCCTCTTTGAAATAAAACCATTCTGCTGGAGGCTTTCTTTTCTTCTAGCAAAATTTCTTTAGGGGATACGTCCATTTTGGTAATGGTTTTGCTCTCCCTGCCCTTCAGTGGTCTTTTTGTAGTAGTTCCTTATCAGCAAGTGAAGGGCTATACTAATCTACAATGCAAAAATAAAAGTGGGAAGCTGAAAGGGGTGCATGAATTTTGATTTTGTATACAGTGCAGAGAATAAGTCCCAGTGTGTTTTGAGCTTGAAAAGCTCTTCTTTGGGCCATAAATTTAAAACAACACAATAAATATTCTGTGTATGGAATGTCGGGCATGTTAATTCATTATTTTGTCCTGAATAAATAAATAACAAGTGGGAACTGGTAAGAATTTTTGAGGAAAGAAAGACTCTTTCTTGCATTGTTTCCATCTTTACTCAAAATACTTGATGGCTGAAGTGGGAGCAGGTTGGATTCAAAGGAAGCCTCCTCTGAGACCAATTTCCTATTCTCTCTGCAATGTTGTCAGTGACCTCCCTTTATCCTAATCAACAATTCCAAGCAGAGATCTGGGCGGAAAAACCACATGGACAATTTATAAGGCTTACAAATAGATTGATACAAGTGGAACCTATAATAAAATATATAGTGCAGATTGCTTCTTTCCTGTATGCTAGCCACTCATGTCCTCTTCTAGGATGCTCCGTTCCCTTTCCCTTTCCTCATTTTCTGTTCTCTCTCCCCCTAAGTCACTCCCAGCATTCTGTGGCTACTAAGAATGCTTATTGCTCACTAATCTGTTTTTGGATTGCCCCCCCCCCCGGCCCCTTGAGGCATTTCCCTTTAAAATGTTGCACTTTTGCAAACTTTTGGGATTCTTCAGGCATGCACATTTTATTTATTTATTTATTTAAAACATTTCTATGCTGCCCCATCGCAACAAAGCCTCGGGGCGGCTCACAACACATAAATAAATACAGAAGTAATAAAATAAGTACTAAGTTATACAATAAATAACACCCCCCCCCAGTGCATTCTTGGCTAAAAAAAAATAATCATCATTCCTCTCTCTTGTTCCTCAGTAGCCTGTTTTTAGTTAGTTGGCATTCCTGAGCTATGTTTTCTTTTAGAAGGAATGATGAATTGTTTAAGGACTAAGTGTCTCTGGTTAACAATTCTAAGGGTGCATGTGTGTGTGTGCTTATATTTCAGAGATAAAATATCAATTGTATACTGTTAGCCTGCTGGCTGCTTTCTTACAACAGAGAGACTTTGGAAGGTGGTGATTCCCAGTGAGTAGCAGTGAGTTGGAACCTGTTGATCAATCAGTTGGCAAAACTGATTTCTTTTCCTCTCCTACATCTGCCACAGGACTTCCCTACCTTGTGTGATCACTGAAGTTTGCCGGAGCCTTATTACAACATCAGTTATCCAAGTTTCCATTTTCACAGCTTAAAAAAGCTGTGGAAAAGTCTGGAGCAAGAAACAGCAAGGGATAGATGAACTCATTATTATTATTACATTTTTATACTGCCCATAGCCAAAGCTCTCTAGGCAGTTGACAGCAATAATCATAGAATCATACACTCAAGTCACCCATCCCACTTCTGCCCAGGCCTGACCTTGCTTAGCTTCCAAGGTTAGGCAGGATCAGGCACTTCAGGCTACATGGAAGGCCTGCTACCACCTCTTATGTCATGAACTGTAATGTGTCATTTGGACTCAAAGCAGTAGAGAAGAGCAGATGAGGCACTTCCAATCAATCCATATAAAAGCTTGTTCACATCTTTTAAACACAATGTTTTACATCTGAAATAGTGTTAGTAACCTGGTTGCAAGTATAGGCTGACCCCTATTCACCTCACTGCCAAACTTCTGCCTTCCAGAGGGCATAGAGAGTTCTGCAACTGCCACAATATTAAATTTCATTTCATTATCCTCTGAAGATATTTTTCCAGGATCAACACAATGGGAATTTCCACTTACTGATTACCTTCATAATAAAACTATCCATGAGCATGTGTAACATTTATGGGCTTCTACTTACAGAGAGCAGAAGTTGTTCCTGTTTCAGTGTAGATGACATTACAGTGGACAAAAAAGCTGAAGGGGAGAGGGATGATGAATTCTGTCTTCTGTGGAAGAATGGGAATAATTAAATGGCCGATAATGTAGCTAAGAATAAAAGTATGTTTTGGTGCTTGTGGGAATCTAGCCTTTGTCAACAACCTGTAGCAGTGTATAGCAGAGTGGATGCCTTAGCTCAAATCATATTTGGTGTTCTCTACCGGATGAGAGTCTTGTGAGAACAATCAGTACCAGGCCAAGCACTTCACACAAGTCCCTTTGTCTTCTTTGTAGCTATGACATGGTGCATTATGGGCACTCCAACCAGCTGCGACAAGCTCGTGCAATGGGAGACTATCTGATTGTGGGAGTCCACACAGATGGTAAGAAAACTTTTCTTCTTTGCTTCAAAAACACCCCCCAAAGGATACACACCTTCCTCAGAATTTTGTCTGCATGTGTAGTAACATGTTTAGGTTCTCACTTACCACTTATATGATTCCATAATCCATAAATTCTGCAGCTGCTCCTGGCTTTTGGCCTATATTGGATTTAAAACCCTGTGAAATGGCTGTGTCAGGTCATGAAAGTAATCTAAGATGGGTGTATTGTGCAAACAAGCTCAGTGCCTGTACTATCTGCTGTCTCAGAGTTTTTTAGTTTGGGGTCTCACATACCTCATTTCTTAGCAGGCCCTCTATAGTGCAAACTTTTTTCTACCTTCCTCATCCAAGAAGAAAGTGCCTTTAAAGTCACTGTGTTTGGAATATAAAAACCCCCCACCAAACTTCAAATATATGTTTCTGATATTCTGCATGCTTGGAAGAAGTCCCTAGTGAATTTAAACTTCTTGGGTTTTGTTTGTCAATACATTAATGGGTAAACCAAGTTATGCTACTTATAATAAGTTCTTAGGTGGCCAAAATATCCACTGTCCATGTCCAGAAAATGCACGTTCTGCACAAAGAAAATGCATTTCTGAATGAACTGTGTGAAACAAATAAAAATGCCTCTGTACAACAGTTGCTGGGGAGCATGGGCAGGAGGGTGCTGTCACATTTACATCCTGTTTGGGACATCCTGTGGGCAGCCAGTTGGCCCCTGTGTGAGCAGAATGCTGGACTAAATGGACCATTGTGATCTAATCCAACAGGGCTCTTCTTATGTTATTTACCATGTGTTGTTTGTTCTGCTTCCAAAATTTACTATAAAACACCAATTTTCTTCTGTAGGAAGTAGAAAAAGTATTGAGTCTGGCAGTCATTTGGTTGTGAAATTTAAATATGGCTTGTATAACAAATAAGTTCTGTGTTGTCCAGCAGAGGCAACTCAGTGCCACTGGGACTCTCCAAATGTAGATGATGGTGTTGATAGTCCTTAGCATCCGGTACACAGTGGCATGTTGCCTTTTATATGGAACAAAGGGGTGAAGGAGGAGCTAGCATGTGTATCACAGCAGGGGTTGATCTGCTTAGGTGGAATGATTTTGGAGAAAAGTTCACGTGGACGTTGCCCTCCTGCATGACTCATGTGGGCGGCAGGGTCCTGGATAGGACCTGCTCAGGGACAGTCAACTTTACTCTGGCAGTAACCTGAAATGTCCAATGGGCCAAAGGTAGACAGGCTACTTAATTACAGTCAGTGCTCTTTGTCAGAACTTTGATGAGGTAATGAATGTACTAAATTGTTTGCCAACACAGAGGCATAGTTCATATGGACCCAGAATGGAGGTAGCAGCATTACAAAGTGAATGTGCCAACGTATTAGGGGCATCTGATGGGATACGGGTTAACACAGCCAGCACTGGTTTGTCTTCTTCCCACCCCTTGCTTAGGTTAGGTCACACAAGCATGCATACATTGAGGGCTGAGGAGCTTACCTTGCCGTGACAGATGGCTCCCCTCTCTCACATCCTGTGTGCTCTCAGAACTCAGGAGAGGTTTGCCTTCCCCCAGGTTTGACTCTTCCTACCTCCACTGAAGTTTTTCTCATTGCTGCCACTTTCTTCCCAGCCTTCCAATGCAATCACTGGGTGCAGCGGTGCAGCAAATGTAAGCCAGATCATTCTAGCAGCTTCACCCTCCTTGCTGTACTGTGAACACGCTAAGTGGGCATGTCAGGAGGACAGCTGTCACCTTGTAGTGGGTCATGAGGCTTGCTTCCTGGAGCTGCAGCCCAGCTGGCCCTTGGCTAAAAGCAGCTCTGCCAGCTTGACTCCTTATCTAACCTTTCTATGATTCTTGAGCTGCCCTCTTACACTGCTAATTTTTTCTTCACCATCAGGGCAAAACGCATGTTTTAATTAAGCTGGAAACTCATTAGCATGCCAGATACCAACTTGGCTTAGGAAATCCACATGTGCATGAAGTGTACACAGGTTTTACATTAGCCCTTACTGTTCCTATTTTTTCCCACACACATATGTTAGAGGAGATCTCGAAACATAAAGGTCCCCCTGTCTTCACTCAAGAGGAGAGATACAAAATGGTGAAGGCCATCAAGTGGGTGGATGAGATTGTACCAGGAGCTCCTTATGTCACAACACTGGAAACTCTGGATAAATACAATTGTGACTTTTGTGTGCATGGAGGTGAGTACCTGAGCCTTTTGTCATCACTTACCTGAAGAAGCTAAGACTGACTGGGCTTAACTGTAGTTTTTAGGCTAAACTAAATGGGAAAATTGTACTGCTATGTTTGCTAGTAAATGTTCATTCTCTGTCTTTTGGTTCCTTGTAAGAAAAAAGTGGGATGTAAATAAAATAAATCCCAAAACATGGCCCATAGTCCTGTTTCTTTTCTAAGCTGGAAATGGTAGTTGACAACATTCTTCTCCCACTTTCCCTTTTGAAGAAAAAGGCTTTTGCACTTCCAGTGATTGGGCTTCCCAGGAAGCCACTCCAATTTGCCCCTATTGAACTGATGCTCTTTTTTCTTCACAGATGACATCACACTTACTGCAGATGGCAGGGACACCTATGAGGAAGTAAAGAATGCTGGGAGATACAGGTATAGCCCCACTTACAATTCAGGTTGCCCAACTCCAAATTCTTACCCATGAACAGAGTATTGAGGTATTGCTGAGATGCTCAGTTACTTTTCCTTTGTTAGTTTGTAGCTTGCTTTTCCTCTGTATTGCTGGTTTGCATTAACCCACCATTTTAAAAATTCTGGGTTATCATGGACTAGGCAGGATGCTGGAGCATGCTGCTTGATCCCTTCTGCTGCAAAGGGCAGTGACTGAGTAAACATGTGAACCTGGAACTTGGGTTTCACTCTCCCCTGAATTGTGTGTGCATCAAAAGTCCAGCATGTGTCCATATTACTTCCCAGGAGGTTTCCTGCACACGTACTGGCCAGGACGTAGCCCATGTAGCTTCAGCCATAATAGACAATTCTATGTGTCCTTTCACCTGTCCTTGTCTCTTGTTTAACCATGGCGTGGTCCAAAGGATATTCTCAGGGAAGTATGAAGAGGCAAGTGTAAGGACATTTTAAACCTTGTGAGTAACACTTACTCACGTTGAGCTTGTCTTATTGCAGGGAATGTAAACGCACTCAGGGAGTGTCCACCACAGATCTGGTTGGCCGTATGCTGCTCATGACCAAGGCCCACCACAGCAACATTGTGAGTCCAAGCGAGGGCTGGAGGGGGCAGGGGGCTTCTTGGCTGCATCAGTTTCCTGCGGCAGTCACGGTTCCGAGTTGCAGTAACCTGTTCGAGTTGTCCCTGAGCAAGTCAGCAATCCCTCTGCTCGCCTCTGTGATGTGTGCTAGAATTAAGGCTGCTTGGTAGAAGTCTTTCTTCAGCAAGTGCCAGAAGCAAAGGAAAAAGCCTGGGCTTGGTGAAGTGGCTTTTGAAATGTGGACGTCATCTTACCATTATTGGCCTGATCTTGGGTACCTCAAGGATGAACTGGTGAGAAGGGAAGAGAGGGGCTTGAGGTGTTCACATGGTTTCTTCACTGGATGGCCTCAATAGGATTTGGGATATGGATGTTCACTGCCTTTGCAGGATATCACTTAGGGATGTATATTTACCTTTGTGCAGGAGGGTTAGGTTGTAGTTTATCATACACTTGAGAATGTGAAATAAAAGCCTTTCAGGTTTAGTTTTACTTTGTGTCCTGTGTATTTGTGTGTATGTGCCTGAAGAAGGAAGTCAAACTTTGTCCAATTGAACTGCTATGTTAGTTTCAGTGGAGATCTTATCTTTATGGGGATGTAAAATATTGGGCAAACTTCAGTGATACAGTGCTCTCATCTTTCTTATCTTAATTGGATAACTTCAGTGAGAATCCTTTCCCATTAACACATTCTTTTCTCTTTTAGGTTGAAGACATGGATTATCGGAGGCATGCAGATAACCTTGGGAAAGTGAGTCCTCCTCCAATAGTTGCAGCTGAAGCTGCTTTACTGTGGCTTCTCAGTGCCCACTGATAACCAAGCAAGCCTGACATTAGCAGCAGGGGTAGGGAGGGGACAGGTGGCATCTGGGCAAGCAGTTACTAAATGATACAAGAGCTCTGAGCAAACAATTCCAGATGCAGGCTGATTAGAGTTCTGAAATGTTGACCAAATTATTTCATTTCTATACCACCCTATAGCCAAAGCTCTCTGGTCAGTTTGCAACCATATACTAAATAGAACAATCAAATGCAGTACAAATTACCATAAAAGCAAGAATGTTAAAATAAAATTTAAATTATTTGTAAATAGCTAAAACATCAGTTTAAAAAAAAAGACCCTGTCTGAAGAAAAAGGATCATCTGACTAATCCCCTCAGGCCCCTTTGTAACCAAGGTCTGGCACCAGGCAGGCCACACCAGGGAAATTGTTGCCAAGATGGGGGACCCCACCACAGAAATGGTCCTCCCCTTTGCTGCCTCCCTCAGAGCACTTGGAGGAAGGCCCTAGAGGCTGAGCGCAGCATCTGAGTAGATCACGGTTGGAAGAGGCACTCTGACTGGTATTGCAGTCCTCATCATGGCAAGGCCAAGCATGTTTCAGTAAATGAGGTACTGTGCTACACTGGGACCTAGGAGGGACCAGCTGTAACGCAGGAGTTGCCCTAGGGTTCTTCAGTTGGCCCCTGAGGTGGAAGATGAAGCTGCTGCAGTTGCCCTTGCCAGTTCTCCACTCTGTGCTGCAGTCAGTTGACTGACAAGGAAAGTGAAAGAGCAAGAGAAGAAATGGGTGGGGCAAGTCATGCCCAGTCCATATTAAAAGGAATCCCCATGGTAGCCTGGCAACTTTATTGTGCATTCAGGGGGCTGATGTTGCTATGTTTCCTGCACTGTTATTCAGAGGCATTTCTGAAAGACAGGAGCTGGAGGGGTGGACATCAGAGCTGCTCCATAATCAAGGAGACTATTTGGGGTTGACTGGGTCTGGTTGATTTATCTGTTTAGATTGCTTGGTGACTTCAGGGGTAGGCCATTTCCTTTGAGGATGGGGTTGTATATTGCCCCTGGCCACCCACCATTGCATCTGGCAACCATGCCCACACCCATGCACTTCACACATATTCATCCACACACTATCTTGTTGTTGTTAGTGCGTGTCCAACCTATCCTGGCCCCATGGACAACACTCCTCTAGGCCCCCCTGTCCTCCACCATCCCCCGAAGTCCACTTAAGCTCATGCCCGATGGCTTTAGTAACTCCATCTAGCCACCTCATTCTCTGCCGTCCCCTTCCTCTTTTGCCATCTATTGTTCCCAGCATCAGGCTCTTCTCCAGGGAGTCCTTCCTTCTCATTAGGTGGCCAAAGTATCATCTGCGGTATCTGGCCTTCTAAAGAGCAGTCAGGGTTGATCTCTATGACTGGATTGATCGCCTCGCGGTCCAAGGGACTCGCAGGCATCTCCTCCAGCATCACAATTCAAAGGCCTCAATTCTTCAGCGCTCAGCCTTCCTTATGGTCCAGCTTTCACAGCCATACATTGCAACACACTATCTTACCACAGATTTTATTTTATTTTTGGTGGGGGCAGCTTGTGACCTCCCCTACCTTCCAGTAATATTGAGTAGTACTACTGGGTCGGGGGCAAGGTCCCAAACTGGAAGAACATGTAGGGGGGCACACAAATAGACATGGAGGGATGTTAAAAACATGCAGACCACAAATTGTGCATCCCTGCAGTGTTTGGAATACTTTCATTATCAGGCTATTTCTTTGATTAGTCTGTCAACATATGTGGGAGATGATTTGCCTTGAAAGGCTGCCTGGTTTTCCTTTGGCTCAAGGAAGTTCTTCTTTAGTGCTAGGATTGTAAGGTACAGTGGTACCTCGGCTCATGAATGCCTCAGTTCACAACTAAATTGGGTTGCGAACAGAAATTTCATAAAAATTTTGCTGCAGGTTGCAAACTCTGCAT